ACACCCACACCCACACCCACACACACACCCACACCCACACACACACCCACACACACAGAAACAAACAAACAAAAACAAGTATATATTTCCATCTTCTAGCGGTAGATTCAGTCTATTTTGCTCATCCTATCAAAATAAATTGCCAGCAATGCAAACACGAAATTGTTTTTCCGCTTTTTGGCGCTTCCGAAATCCCCGAACGATTTTGACTCTTCTCCCGTTTCTCCAGTGTCTCCTTCATGCCTCCCGCTCTTCCAGCTGCGTCGTCGTTGCGGCGGGTCCACTCGTTCTTTTTAAAAGAGACGTTGACATGTCCGCGGCGTTGCGCGGCGGATCCCTCTGTTACGTTGAACAGGTGCAATTTGGGGTTCTTCCAAATTGCGAACGCAGTCTTGCTGGAGCAAACATGCACAGAAAGTTGAAGTAAGAGATACTGGGGGATAGAAAGATAATATTGAATTGCTCCGCCGTGGTGCACTCAGCGGTAAGGTATCCCTTGCTTTCACAATCAGAATCAAGTTTGAACTTTGAAGCTCATTTCGTGACTGGGACAAAAATTCTGCAGACTTCCTTCGGTGGATTAGGCGAAGGGGAGCCCTCTTCTACTTGGATTGGCATTGTTCTTCTCTTCTTCCCTGCTCTTCTGCAGCCCTAGTTACCCCATTTTGTCTTTTCTTATTCCTCTCTCCTTTCAGCACAGAGTCTGCCCAACCACCACCACCACAACCACAGAGTCAGCCTCATCTACTTGGATTGGCATTGTTCTACTCTTCTTCCCTGCTCTTCTGCAGACTTCCTTCGGTGAATTAGTAGAAGGGGAGGCCTTGTTACGTCGTTTTGTCTTTTCTTATTCCTCTCTCCTTTCAGCACAGAGTCTGCCCAAACCACACCACCAACACCACAACCAGCAATTCTTTTTCTTCCATCGTCATTTGCTGTGTCCTGCTTTCCTCTTCCTTACTGTCTGTGTTCTTCTTCCTGCCTTTCTATTTCCTTGGTTCTATCCGTCAACCTCCCTTTTCTTCCCGCTTGTCACTTCTGCCAAGTCCACCCAGTGCTGTGTGACTGCATTGATAACTGCTGAATGTGTATGTGACTGTCCTCCACGTTCCACTCTCATTGGAAGACCAGGTGGATTGACTACTGCTAATCAAGAAGTGCGAACGCTGTCACATACTTATTATAATTACAATTCTCCCACCGTCTAGACTCGTCGTCCACGCAAAGGACCACCACCACCTACACGACTACCCTGCTACCACACCTGCATCTGGGCGGACTGACATCATTCGAAAAAGCCGGCCGCAGCAAGTGCTCCGTCTTGACAGCAACTACACCCTACAACTCCCCCCCTCTCGCCGCGCCACCTTCACTTAACAGATTGCCTTGCTGCTGCCACACCTCCACCTTCACTTGACAGCTTGCCTTTCCCCGCTGCCGTGTGGGTTCTCTCTCCCTGTTGGCCACGCTACCTATATACCCTACCTCACCCACTTCCACCCACACCCCACTGAACTATACGTACTTCACCCTCATTCTCCCCATGCTACCTATATACCTTAGCTCACCCACTTCTACCCCCTCTATATACAAACTTCAGCCTCTTCTCCCCACACCTCCTATACCTTTACTCCACCCACTTCTACCCACACCCCACTGAGCTTTGTTACACCTTCGTCAATCCCTTTGCTGCCCCCCCCCCCTCTCCCCCTCCCCCCCCCCAAGATAAATAAACTCACACAAGAACTTAGAAAATAATTTGAAAACAGCCTCTGCTACGACGCAGAAGGATGCACTCTCTTCTTCCTCCTCCCCCCACTGTCCTCGTGCTTCCTGCTTCCTCTCCTTTTCATGAACATGTCCTCCTCATTCCCACGATCCGTCGGCTGTTTGCCAGAATCTCGGAGTCTTCAAATCCTTTGCCTTTTGCTTGACAAATCTGCCTACCAACACTGTACGCCAGACACATCAAATATCTGCAGAATTTTAAATGACACAGATGGACACAAACGGCTCGTCGTCACACCCTTGCTCTTCTACTAGGAAGGGATTTTATTAGAAACAAAAACTTTCAAAAGAGTACAAAAATACCTTCAGCACTCGCAGGAGCGCTCGTTGAATGTAATGTGGCCATGACAGGGGGCTGAAGAGGCGCCACACATGCCGGCGTCGAACTGTAGCAAGCACGTCAGGAGATTGTCATAAATTATACCGCATGCTGTAGGCACTAACTGAACAAAAAAAACACATTCTGTTGCGAAGAAGCTGAACCGAAGAAATACCTTTTTTTTTTTTTTTTTTTTTTTTGAAGACTCGAAGATATCTCAATGAGACACATTTCACAACACAAGGTTTTCTGCGCCACGACATACAAATGCAGGCTGGACATCGAATCCTCAATTTACAGCTGCAGCAACAGCCCAATCAAAGTTGGTTTCGTTTTTTTTTACTACAGGTTTGACACAGTGGCACAGCAGCAGCAAAAAAAAAAAGACGGCATTGGAATGACGACATTAGGGCGCAGTGAAGCGACAGAAAAGCGTCACTACATCGACAAGATGACATGACTGTTACATAGCCACGCAATTGGGTCCCCAACCCGAGTCGAACAATCTCTTTGAAGTTTGAACTGAATGAGCAAGATCCTAGTGCTTGAAGCACAAAGTGCATAGTGGGGGCTAGATTCCCCCCCCAAAAAAAATAAAAAATAAAAATAAAAATAAAAAATAAAATAAAAAATAAAATAAAATAAAAAATAAAATAAAAAATGAGTAAATTACAGCTCCTTTCTGTTGGTGGGGAGCGCCACCCGCCGAGATGCGTAGTGGGGGCAGGGGTACGGCAAGGTCAGGAATTGCACCCTAGCAATAACACCTGAAGGAACCACATCTCATTCCAGGTTCCAAAAATAGACCAGGTCAGGAGTACTGCCGCTGCTTGGAGCACGACATTGGATTCCAAATATAGACCAAGCGAAAAACAATACACAAAGTCCTCCCGAGGAACAGACAACGGATAACAGATAGGATCCGCATACAGGTGAAGATGAAACCCATAGGGTCAAAGAATTGTTCCAAGAAGCAGACCAGGTTCCGAAAATGAACCAGGTGCATAGAGTTCAAGGAACAGAAGCACGCGCTGTGGGCCCAGAGGAGACAAAGTATATCCCAGTCTGATGAGACAGTCACCCTGTACCGGCACGCCTAGGTCAGTTGGTACACCCATGAATCGTTGATGTACAGACCTGCGTTCGGATCCAAAAAAAGAACGTCGCGATGTATCGGACAATATAGACCAGACCTGAGACCACCACCACCTCTCTAAGGATCTGAAGTCTCTAAACGACTTCAGAAGGTACACTACAATACCTCCTACCCAGATATCACATCTCAAATCCTAACTACCACATTGTGCTAGAAAGAAGAGCGCAACTCGATTTTTCGCCTTCACGTTCCTTCCTTCGTTCCTTCGCCTCTCTGCCCTTCCCACCTCCCCTCCTTGCCCCCCCCCCCC